GACTGGCACTGCGCTTATGTCCTATTGTATGGCCCAAGGATTCTGACAAGTGATGAGCCCATAAATCCTACTGACATCCAGACTGTCCGCCAATAGTCTCTCATTTAAATAAACATAATTTAAGTTTAATTTTTTTAACGACTTTCTTGAGTAAAAAAGTTTTGAAATTAACATATTTTAGAAAAATGTTTTCAGAAATTTTTCTATGATTTAAATTTGCAATAAAATTCATTTTATATTTTAACCAAAAATCTAAGTAAATGTTTTATTTAAATAAAGACATTTAATTTTATGCTAAATCTACTGTTTTATTATTATTTAATGTTTAAGGTCTAAAATATTAGCTCTTGAATAAGATATGTTGTGAAAACACAATTTAGTATTGAATGATTTGAGTTAATTTGACTATCATTTTCATTTATATGCAATTTCTATGAAATGCTATCTTTTTCCCACTCGATCCGTAGTTACCCAATAGAATATTTCAATTATACAGTCTATGCATTAAATACAAAGTAGCATTTAGTTTACTTATCATTTATAATCCATACGAATTACTCAATGTAATTATTTTATTATATTTGAGTTATATTCAAACTCATAGTTCAATCAATATTAAAATTTATAAAACTATTTTAAAATATATTTAAAAATAACTTTTAAAAAATAGTAAATTCCTGATTTGAGAGAAATAAAAACTGCTTTACAATAAGACTTCATAAGAATATAACAAGAAATTAATAATTTATAGATTATAAGAATATGTGCTTTAAATGAATTCATATTATATGATCACATGATATATAAGTTAAGGAATGTCGGGAATAAAGGCCGGATTGTCGGCGCTTATAGTTGTTTTGTCTATTGTCTGGCATTTCATCAGAACTGCCGGTTCTTTGTGCGGACTCGAGTCATGGCCTCGAAATGACAGACAGTTTGCATATTTAGTTCGCCATTCATTTCTAAGAACCTTATCTTTAGGCCCCCAGTTGTCCGAATCAATACACGACAATTCAAGTCTCTGTACATTTTAATTAAGTTCATTATTAAATAATTATGAGTATAGTGTAAAAACATACTTCTTTTAGATTCTGTCCCTTATTTTGCTTATAAATGGCATAAATGGCCCAAATGGGCACTTGTAGTACAATGATCAAGGTGAGACAGATTCCCGCTGCATCCGCCCAATCGGGGTAATCATATTCGCCATACTATTTACATAACAGTTATAATTAATTTTTTCAGTTAAATATGAAGTTGTTTTAAAACAATTTTGTAATCAATACTTTTAAGGGCTCAAAATTAATGAGCGAATAGACAAAAATGAGGGACAGAATGATGGGTGACGTGTATTTCCACGTTATCTTCCAATAGATTCCCAATTGTTTTCCTAACATAAAGTTTATATCGAAGGCAAACCTATCAAAGCCATAGATCCACATCAATGCCACACATTCTGACACTGCTATGAACACCAGAGGAAGGCTTCCGCCATAATTGTCCACCACATCAAACACATATTGTCCACCTATGCCAATGAAATGAGATCAATGATTACCGTATATAAAGTTTTAGATAATATCATATTATGATAACATAATATAATAATATGCAAACTATACCCCGTGTAACACATGGCAGACCCAATAGAAAGCACACAAATCCGGTTATAATACAGAACTTTAATTTATGTTTCCGAAGAAATGGTATTTCATCCGAAAGACTCGTCAACACGTTCTCCATGAGAGCAAACTTACAATTCATTTTGTAATACAAATTGTGTTAATTTGTTTTAAATGTCAAATAACTTTTACAGTAAAGAATACCTCAGAATCGAGACCTAATGTAAACAACATAAAGAAGAAGAGTACGGACCAGACTTGTGGAAACGGTAAACGAGTTAGAGCTTCCGGGTATGTGACAAATGCCTTCACATTTATTATTAGATTTTAATTAGTGTGCGAATAATATTGCATTCATATACATGTATCTATTATTAAAATGCTTTTCATACCAAACCGGGACCACTTTTGACCACATCGGCCACATTTACATCCAAATCGTGAGCCATTGCTCCCAACACTGAGAATATTACTAATCCAGACTTTGAAATAAAATGTTTAACCATTTAAATGCTCCATGTCTAATAAATTTACAAATACTGAAGCTTACAATTATTGATGTAATTGTATCCAAAACACTAACAATCATCGCATCTCTTAAAAATTGAACAATTGTTATAATATTTTATGAATATTAATGTAATTTTAAACAATTACTGGAAAATGTTATGCCGAAAGTCATTGTAACTGCTAAACATGATAAGCCCTCCCATCGCAACACTTAAGCTGAAAAACATTTGTCCGGCCGCTGCCTGCCATACCTGAACTCATTTATAAATAGTTGTTAATTAATTAAAGTTAAAAATATTATATTATATACAGTATATACAGAAATATATAGAATTGTATAATATACTGTATATAGAAATAAAATAGAATCTAAAAATATATAGAATTTTGTTTAAAAGTACCTTAATTTCCAAGAGTTTATCCCATTGCGGGACTATGAAGAATTTGATTCCTAAATTAAATTAAACAATTATTTGAAACAAATTGTATGATTAAAATGTTGATGATCCTACCATCCCAGGCACCCTCTTGCGTTATACCAGCAATTAATAGTGATATTAAGATAACATCTGTTAATCAATGATAAATTTTGTAACATTTTGGCCATAAATTCTCAAATATTAACTTACACGGGAAAGTTGCCGCAAAATAAACTACTTTTCCGCTTGTTTTTACTCCTAGTCATTAATATTTTGAAGTTAATATCAGTTATTTTAAAAATAATTAAGCAATTGATACAAACCTTTTAGAAGGCAAAGGATAACAATAATCCAACTGATGGCTAGACATAGGGCTAAATCCCATTTAATGCCATTCAACTGATCAATTCCTGGCGATATATCCAATACTTTACGCCTTATATACGGTAGAAATTTATTGTAACAAATTGGTGATTATATGAATGAACGAAAACTTACTCCCAAAACACCTTAATATAAAAAATATATAATTTTAAAAAGTGAAAACATAGTAATAAATAATTACTAATCATTAATACCTGACTGGAAGAAACTCCGTCTGCAAATGTGGACTAAAACAAAATCTCAATTTTAATATAAATATAACGAGAGGTCTATTTTGATGTTTGCATACATTTTTGGACCTAACTGTACAATTGGTGCCATTGGCCCACTCGGGGTCACACCTCTGCCACGGGAGCTCCGATGTGAATGAGTGGCCGATAAAGTATAACGTATATGACATCACCTTATTTTTAATGCAAATATAATGTATAGTATGGATAATATTTGACAATTTATAGCATATTCTTGCAAAATATTCATAATTCTCTATTTTCCTAACTCTCTGATTTCAAACTAGCATTTTTAATTACATTTAATTTTAATTGCATAATAGAAAAATATGATTGATTGTTATAAATCTTATGTAATTTTATTGCATATATTTATGATTTATCAAATAAATTAAAGTTGTGATAAATATTCATATCTTCAATACATGTATTCTTTGTTATAATATTTGGGATAAAATTCCCTTTTGGTGTGCATTCTATTCCTTACGTAATATTTCTTAAATTAGAAATTAATAATAAAAAGGGGGAAAAACTCACGACATTATAGTAAATGCAAACGACTAAAGACACGGCAATCATTGCGGCGCCGATTCCTTTGGCAACGGGAGCGCAGTTCCAGATGGTTAGCGGACCCGTCCCTCCAAACTGACCGAAAGCCAATTCCATGAAATACATGGGCTTTCCGGCCAGTGTTAACATTATGAGGTATGGTATGA